AAGCGGAAAACACAATGTAAGTAAAACGAATAACTAAACCATGTGGTTTTGTTACAAACAACTGCGCCGCTAGATGGCGGTGTGGTATCATTTTCATATTTGTACACAGATTAGTGAGGTTTGCCTTCAAGGCCTTCTGCCAGACAAGCTCTCTAAAGACGTGGTTAACTTTGATGAAAGCATGTATTTTAACCCTGAGGACAAACTTCTCCCACTGGTGTCCACTTGATGCAGAAGAGCTGAATAAAAGTGCTTTTAATCTTGTAAATTTCATAAGCATAACAAAGAGGTCAAGATGCCCCCCCCCAAATGTTGTGTGTCTTTTACCAAGCAGAATCTTAGCTCTTTGTGTTTAACAGTGAACAGCTTTCATGTCAGAACACAGCATTTGTGTGCTAACACGACTTTAGAGCCTGAGCTGACGTGTATAAAGAATGACTCCAGAGTCAGTTTGCAAGACCAGTGGGAAGAATGTGATCAAAGCCTTCAAAACAAATCACGTAAAGCAGTGTTGCAACCTTTTACGACAAACTTAGAGAAAGGTCACATTGTCTTGTTTTCATGCTCTAGGCTTTTTCAACATTTTGCAGACTAGGTTTTGAGTTTTTATGGGTTTTTTACTTTTTGTTTTTAGCTCCCCTTAGACCAGAAGAAACACTTCTAATGATCACAGAAGTTTCCCTCCAATATGAAGCATGCCTGCCCGCACTTCTCATTATAACCACTAAAATTTCCACTCAATTCAAAAGTCACTCACACCTACAGCTACTTTGGAATGCAACGGCTATAACATCAGCCAGTACACTTCTATGAAGTGATTATTTCTTCTGCTTTCACCAAAAAAATGTAGCTTTAGAGTTACCAGTTGAGGTTAGAAACCTCAATTCTCCACAGTGCTCATCAGAAAGCATTTCCGTGGTTCCATATGTTGTCCTTTACAGATAATATTCCTCCAGAGCAGATTTAGGCCAGGAGGCCCTTTTTGTTTTTCACTCTTTTAACTTTGGCGTAAAAACAGCTGAGTCATCAAATAGATGGTCCTCCTTGCCCCTGCCCCCACATACCCAGGAGGTTCTGAAGCCTTAACCAGGCCATCTGACTCATGTCATTCATCAAAATGAGTGCAATCACTGAACATGTACAGACATACTGTAGGCTATTAGCGGGTCCTCAGTTACGTGACTAACCTGGAGTGTTCAGAGGTCATACTTCTTTACAAAGGATGTGCATTTGATCATCTTAGGCTTTCGCGGCTTTAGCAGAATAAACAAGCCTGCCATGCCAAACGCAAGAACGATGAAAACCATCTGAATTTTTCATTGCTATTAGATGCATTTAACAGACTAAATGTCAGTTAATAAGCAGCTGAAACTCAAGGAGCAAATGTTCTATGGTTCACATGTCCTTTTGTTTGTTATCTCTGGGTTGCATTTGCTGCTTAGTTTGGAGAAAAACCCCTCAGCAAGATAAAGATCATTTTCACAATCTCAGCCTCTGCTTGTTTGCTTCAAAGCTAAACACACTATCACTCTTCTGGAAATTTTAGGACAGACTGGAAACTGTAGCTGTCCACAGCAAAGTGAGCCTTCCCAGATTTCTCCAAACGATGATCCATCTTAAACAAGTGTCTGTTGAGCCCTAAATCAAAAGGGCACTTAGCAACAAACTTAGTTACGGATTTGTTTAGCCATCCCAGTTAGAGCAAAAAATTCATCATGGAGCTTATTTTCAAAGAAAACAGCTCCACATCCTGTCTGCTGAATTGCTGCTGACACTAAGTGAGCTTCTGAGAGCTAATGAGTCACTCTCACGGACATTCCCCCAACAGCAGATGTTTTATAGCAAACAGCAGCGAACTGTCAGGGATCTTCCGAGCCTGAAATCTGTAGACAGTGAACCTTCACTTAGTGACAAGGAGGGCTTTTACCTCTGAAACGTGCAGTGGTTTTCAGAGGACCACACCGTAGCAGCGTTTGCCCATCCCCAGTCTGCTGGCAAGGTATTTTGAGTTGGTGCAGACCTGAGTGTGGTCCTTTCACTGGAGCCAAGGATGTCACCTTCACAGTTCCAGCATGAGGCTTTGCAGGGGTTTGGTTTTTGTGGGTTAATCAGGCATTTCCATGTCCCTGTGAGGCTGTTTAAAATTGTGAGGGTTCAGTGTGTCACCGGCACAAGTTATTGGAAGGCTACACTTGGATCAACCCACACTGGCTGATTTGTGGGGTCTGTTCTCACTGAGGGTTTAGAGGCACATTTATAACAGGAAGGTGGTCCGTTATAATCAGCGTCCTTTTCCTTGGTCAAGCTGGGAAAATTTGTATTGAAATTAATCCAGTAAAGCTTCTCAGGGGGTAGCAGTGGAGGACAGGGATGGACAGGGCGTCTAGATTTTGCATTAAAGCACAAAAAAGTGTTTTAGAGAACAACCATGCTCTAGAAAGGTATCTAAACCTGCTTTCGAACTTGTCAGCAAGCAGTAGGCCTATACTTTGTTAAAATGCTTTGTATATGTCAGTAGGTCACATTTCTGCATGTTTTATTTTATTTATGCGGAGCACCTTTTAAGAAAATTAAAGGAATAGATTGGATTTCTACATCTTGTTTCTCATTCATGATTAGTAAGATCATTGTGCAATCTGCCAATTTTGTCTACGCTTGATTATGATGATGTTGCTTCTCTATTCAAGTTGAAGCCTCTTGATTCTGTGTACTACCGTAAATTACGATTCATTACAGGTGATTGTTTTCTTGGTCACCATCGTATCTTATATGAGAGAACAAAATGTGATAATGTACAGTAAATCGAAGACAGCAGCATTGTATGATATTTATTTACAAGGCTCTTTGCTGCAAAGATTGCCTGCTTATCTCCTTGACTGAATTTAAACGGAGCTCTTACAATGTCAGGCCGTGGGACATTTTAAACATTAGCTGTACCTGTTGTTCACACTGAAATTGGAAAAACTGGATTGAAATATTTCTCCACCTACAAACGGAACAAACTACCAAAATGTTATGAAGCTACTCTTGTGCATTTTTTAAAATTGTGTACATGTACCTGTTTGTCTAACTTTTTGTATGTGTTTTATTTTGTTCACAGGTCTGTCTTGAAAAATAGATCTCAATCTCAATGAGGCTAAATGTTTAAATGAAGGATTTAATAAGCATTTATATATTTTCAGACCTGTGACAGATTAAAGCCCTTGGCCTCTAATTTTCACGTTTATTTGCTTTTTTGCTAGCTCTTAGCTTACTTGAGCACAGAAACGGTTATACAGAAGACAAATTCTCTTAAAATCAGAAGAATCCTCAAACAATAAAACTAAAATCAGCTTTAATAGCTTTGCACTTTTTTTCTCATCTTTTCAGCTGCGTGGAATCAGTGTTATGGGGGTAGTTTCCAGAACTACTCAACTTCTCATTTTAGAAGTAAAAAAAAGGGGGTATATCACATTAATCTCTAAGCTTTGGATCCACTTGCTTTGCTTTTATAACTCTTGATCCTGACTGGAAGTGTTTTCCAGTTTTATGGCAAAGTAAGCTAAACGCCAGGTGGCCGAAGTTTCAGATTTATTAGAGACACATGAGAGTTGTACCGTTAATCTCAATTTTACTGTTTGCAAGATATTCTGATGTAATTAAATTCAGTCTTCTAAACTAACATCGACATGCATGCAGGCAAACTCTCAGGAAACAGAGGTTTTGACGGTTATGATGAGACAGATTTATAGACATAAAGGCATTAAGAGCACTCTTTTGGACTGTCAAAGGGAGAACACAATGGTTGAAAAAGAAAGAAAAAGGATTCATGTGTTCCATGTGATCAAAGTTGTGCGCCTGGCGTTGATGACTTTGCTTGAAACCAGTCATCCACGGACACCACTTGAAGAGTGTGATGGTCTGGCTCATCAACACAAAGCCGACAGGGCCAGAAAGATTTAAGACAACTCTTATTAGTGTCAAATTCAAAGTGTTGCAAACTGGTCCAGGAATTCGCTGGAACTTTTGGATTTTGCATATCCTTCTTCTATTAAGTGTCATAGCACTTGTTTGAATCAGCCGTGGAAAACAACTTTCAACCAGCAAGACAGAACAGGACTAATAATTAATAAGTCAAGTAAACTTATTGAGTTGGTGAACAGATAAACCAGCCTATGAAAAGAGCTCTTTTGAAACCACTTGAACAAGAATGTCCCCTGAAGTGAACCCTAAATGTTCCCATTTAGTGACTGTTGGTTGTGTAATATTGTTCTGCCAAGCATCGTGACTCATCGGCTTTTATTGCTGTTTAATTTTAAGATTGTAATGCCATTTTTTTTTATTAGCGGCTGCTTTTTTACATGTCCATAAACATGTTTCCATGTCCAGCTGGGTTTGACCCGTGTTCCTGGTTCATATTTCATGCTTTATAAAAGTTTTTAAAGACATGGGTGTGAAGGCCATTGTGGTGGGTGAGCACAACATGTGAGCCTATTTTCAGATCCGAGACTACAGGCTGCTTGGCTTTAATGTGTTGTTGTGGATACAACAACTGGCTATTTCTTCAAATGCATCCCCATCATTTTACATCCCTGCAACCCCCTCCTCAGGGATGGTTTTCCTTAAAAGGATGCTGCTCTCCATCTTTACCAGTGATTACAGGGTGCAGGGACTGGTGTCTTTGTTGAGGAGAGATTTTTTTAAATTACAAAAACATACAGTTCAAGCACTTTTGTGTGGAAAGAATGTACATTTCTCTGTGTTTGAAAAAAAAAAAAAAGGTCGTGCGGGTAGGGGGCTGGTTGGGTGGCTGGAAAAAATAACTTGGAAATTTGGACCCATTCCATCCCAGTTCATCTCCTCCTCCCCTTCCTTCCCTCTATTTCTCTCTCCATCTCTGTCTGGCTTTCAGAAATGTGTTTCTCGTTGTCTGTCCCCATGCCTATAACTTTCAACACGCTCGGCTGGCATATTCTTCATGCTCGAAAACCACTCAAAACAAAACGGAAATCCATCTTTTTTATTCCCCCTCCCAACAATGATTGTATTTCACAGAGTCATACTCAAGTTTAATCAACAGCCAAATGAGAAAAACATATAAAACAAATTTCCATACGTCTAAGCACACTTGGAGAATGATTGTCACGTACAGTGCAGGAAATTAGTCCTATTTTCTTCAGGATCATTTACTATTTCCCTCAGGACACCTGGCCCCTTTCACTGTAATGATAACTTAATTATACACATAAATTATCCTTTCTGGTCTTCTGCACTCAAAGTACTTTAACATGCAGTATAGAGGTCATTTTAAGTGTAGGGATTAAAAATAAAATCGCCACTCTTTCCATGTAATCAAATGTATAAACTCCAACTCATTAATGTGTTGCTCTTTCACATCTGGAAGTGAATACAGAGCCCAGATAAATCTATAACGTAGTAACAAAATATCTTTTCCAGCTACCAGCAACTATAGGAAGTTAAATGCCGTATACGTGTGTTTCCTCCAGACGTTTATGTTGGCGAGGTAGGACGAGCTGCATTAAGAGCCTGCGATGCTAACCGTGGGAATGAAATCACAGCCGCTGAAGTTCCTTTATGATGTGGCTTCTCTGCCCCATGAAGTTATATACTAATAAGAAAACATTGTGGTTTCTTAATCAGAGAGACAGCTACCATTATTTTAGTGAAAAACGTAGGCATATACTCTTAATTCACCTTCTCGGTCATACACATTAGGTGGTTAAAGGAGCAGTATGGCTTCCTATGAGCAGTCTTATAGGAATATGGTAAATCCATCTATGTTTGAGTCAGCTATGATATCAAAAGGAGAACAAGCAGAATCTGTGTCTTTTATAGCAGAGAGTTCAGGTCACTGTCTGACGATTGGTAAACTCCATCTTCAAGCTGGGCTCAATGTAGATGGAGTCAAGTTTGCCCTGGCCTACATAGCTGCCCCTTGACCAGCCTGGCTTATGCATTCTTCTCAATCTATGGGCCTGATCATCATGCGGACAGACTTCATTGAGTAGAAACCTCCGCCATAGTCGGCCCAGAAGATACCATCTTGGTATTTGCTACGGTAGACGCCTCCGTTGTACCAGACACCGTTGAGATTGGTTTGGCCACATCCGTTGTACCACCAGCCTCCTTTATGGAAATGGGCACAATTACCTGCGAATGGGAAACAGAAGAATTGGTTATCGTATTGGTTATTCTTCTCAGTGAGGTAATTGGCACTGCCCTAGAAAACATTACTATAATTTTTAAAAAATTATAAGTTTTTTTTCCCTTTTTATTCTGTTTTTGTCCTTTTGTTATCTTGAGATTAGCATTCTTTGTTGTGTATACACATATAACATAACATTGTATTGTATTGTGTTATCTTTTACGTCTGCTAATAATGATGGACAGAAAAAGTATTTCTAGCGATGGAACCCAGTCTTTATTTTTTCTATCAAGTGAGAAAAATTGACTGTAATAGTAAAGCTTTACTGAAAGCGACAAATGGAGGACACCACGTGCTCATACAGTAGCCATGCCTTAAATCACACATTGCTTTCTAGTCTATTTTACAGTAATTGGAACCATATTTATGAAATTAGCATCTTGCTGTGATAAACAATATTTGAAACAAAGTATTGAGACCATAAACTAAATTAGGTGAAAATGTTTACTGAGGTAACTTTGTAAACTTGTAATCAGCTGCATTGCCCCCAATTAGAAAGACTGCAAGTGTAAAGTACAGTTTTTTAGACCCATCCCATCTTTTACATATACCACTATGCACTGATATGAACAAACTTGGCCTCGTGTCACATTGTGTTCCCTTTTGAATCTGTTAGTCAATTCTGATATGTTTTGACCAATCAAGAAGGACCACTTAGACTGCAGATTCCAATAATTTAATGGTCTCAATTTTTCAAAGAGAAAATGTATATTTCAACACTTCAGAGAAGACTATGTGTGACAATCATACAGTATTGTTTACCTGAGAAAGCATCTTTGTCTCGATCCAGAGTAGTGAACTGTTTGCCGTTGTGGCTGCTCAGAGAATCCCCAGCATTGCCCTGGTAGGTGCCCAGCCTCAGGCGGTAGCCTTCGCTCTCTGGCTCCAAGTGGAAGCTGCTGTACTGAGCGTAAACCTTCTTGCCCATCCAGTCCTCCAGCTCCACTAGCAGCTTGTAGTCCCCCTGCCTTCCGAGGCCGTAGATGCCTTCTAGGCCGAGCCAGTACTCTCCGTCTATGTTGCCAAAGCCGCTCTGAGTCAAAGGAAGATTAAAAGGAAAGTTACAAAAAAGATCACAGAAAACAATGTACACTGTTTGTTCTGCGGTTACCCGTGGAGTTTAGAAACATGAGGATTATTTAGGAAAATAAAAAGGAGTTGTGGGCGATGATGAGTGACTGTCAGGGGAACAAATGAGAAAGGTCTTTCTCATGACATGATTCTGCAGAAAAGTGAAAATTAAAAAGGAAAAAAAAAATACATTGAGATATACGGATACCATCCTGCCCTTTGAAATTCCTGAGGAAGACATGCTGTAGAGTTTATGCTGGAAAAGCCATCTGTCTTCAAAATTCTCCTTCATTGCTCCTACCCCACAGCAACGATCTCTTGGATCATTGCTAATAGTGAAACTGGCCTGGCCACTTGTGTTGAAAAACCACCAGCCATCTATGTCTGGCTACATGCCGCCAGAACACTTCACTTGGTAAAAGAGGTTGAGGTTTGTGATTGCGGATTAGTTCGGGGAGCCAGCAAATGATAAATGATGTAGGCTTTGAGTTTGAGGCCTCCTCTGTGGTGTGTGTATGTGTGTGTGGCTTTGTGGGAGAGTACAGAGGTAAATCAGTGTTGGAAATTGCAATTTAGACTCCAGCCTTGACCTGGTTGAATGGAACTCCGGATTGCAGAGGCTGCCAGCAATGATGTACTCAATCTCAGTCTCACTGTGCTTTGATGTGGTGTAGTACTAACCATCCACCCAGGAAGGTGCTGTAGTAGAAGCAGTTTGGAAACATACCTTCCTAGTGTTCCTAGTGGGACAGCTAATGTTTCATAATGGGAAAATAAAAAAGGATCTCCAACAAATGGTGCTGCTGACAGGGTATTATACCTTACAGTAAGTGAATACATGAAGATTCAGGCTCAGGGAATTGTTTCAAACACCCCAGTGGTTCCTCTAGATGGAACGTATAACAGCACATTGTTATCTCTGGATAGGCCAAGTATTTATTTGACAGCACTTTTAAAAGAAGAAAAGAGGGGGAAAGAGATGGGGCAGAGGAAGTGCAATTGTCATCACCTTGTAGTTTTCCCAGTTCCTGAAGAAGTTAACTGAACCATCCCTTCTGCTCTGGATGACAGTCCAGCCGCCGTTGTCTATGTCCTGTTCACACCAGGCCTGCACTGGCCTCTCAGCTTCATCTGGTCTGATTAGGTACATGCCACTAGTGCTGTAGCCAGCCTCCTGTGCTGCAAGACAGTCTCTGAATGGGCCTGAGGGAAAAGAGAATAAGAGAAGATACAGTTGATAAAAGTAAGAGAGAACTAAAAAATCTAGCTCTATCAAGAAAGTAGAGAGCTGGACAAACATTCTACATTTTTGTAGGAAAAAATCATCAGATTTACTAAAAACACATTTGTATATGCTTATAAAAATCAAAGAGCTGAGACAAAAATCTGAAGGTGAGGTTTGTTAGGCTTTTTGAATTGTTAAGGAAACGGATGCTAGGCTAGTTAGCTTTTACCAGTACTGTTTGCGATTCAGCCAGTAACTTATTTATGCTACATAAGAAACTGAATTGGACTTTAGAGCATTCAGTTCTTTTTTTCAATGCACAAAATTAGTAATAAATAAAACAAAAACAAAACAAAACCCAAAAGAAATCAAATATGCTTCAGCTTAGATTAACAAACTATCCTCAAGTTAGCCTAACCTAGCTAAGATGTAGTTAGCGTGGACTACTTTTTGTATAGACCAAAAGTAGCACTCCCTTAATCCATGCTGTCAGTAAAAACTGTTCCGTTGAGTTTATGAATACTGAATACAACATGATGCTCATTTTGTAAGTATGGCCCTGTTTGATATTGGCAAGATTGCAAAGTGTAAATGCTCAGCTTGAGGCTTTAAAAGGACTTCACAAATCACTGGGTAACATTGCAGGCTTCTCTCTTTTTTTATCCTGTTTTGTAGGTAAGTGGTTTCAAATGTTACATTTTCATAAAGCACACTTCTCTAGAGAACAAAAGGTCAATTTTGACCAAACCTATCATCCGACCGCAATTGGGTTTCATAGGGCAGATTAAATTAGAGCACTGAGACAACGAGTTTACATTACAAGCAACGAAATGTCTGACAGAAAATGAAATATATCAGGAAAAAACAGTAAACACGAAAAAAAAAAAGTCACACAAGCACGCAGAGTAATATAAAACACATGTATTGTAGGTCTGCAAAGTTAAATACAGAGCAGTAGAAGAAAATTGGCCTATTAAGTCACTTTAATAAGAAATAACTTTCCCTCATTTGAAGTAATAAAAAAGTAGATATCTTATTAACCTTTCTTTAATAATGTCTGCCCTTTCTCAAGCTAATTTAACATTGTAAATTTTTTCATTGTTGGCAGGTGTAGAAGTGAGTTTACAGAAAGGATGAGGAAGTTGCTCACATTATGATAATAAGGTAAAGGTATAGTCCATTCACTTATATAACAGAATTACCTCTACTTTGTGGTTTGGACGGCGCCTGTAATGCCAGCCTGAGTTTTGTCTGCACTTCACATGCAGTTGCAGTTTTATGAAGGATCTTTTGCACACAGCTGCACTGAAGTTCAACACACTGTATTATTCTTGGGTGAAGGTAATTGAACTATCTGAGGGAGATCTGTTGATGAGCAAAATCTCACTGCTTAGGACTTTCTTTGTTCTACTTTAGGTTGCATGCCTCTATTCAGACATTAGCACATTTTTATTTCCATCCTGGTTTGTGTTCCTTCTGTTGAGGTGCAAGCTGAATTTACAAAATCTTTAACCTTTAGATGTTGGGACACTGGCCCACCTGCAGCTGTGTTCAAAATTTGGATTATTATTTTGTTGTGGTTGGCCTGTGAAGGCTGCTCTACATTTTACCATGACTGTGTTGGATATTTGGGACTGAAGCAGGGATTAGATGAATGGATTTGTGGATGGATGAGTAACTCTCTAACCTTCTGCGCTGAAGTTTCTCTGTGGAGGTTTCTGGGCTTCCAGGGTACCGCTTGTGGGTGACGGACCAGAACGAGAGCCTCGTTCCCGTGCGAACCTCTGAATTTCGTTGGTGAAACGTGGCACATTGACTGGAATGTTCTCAGGCACCACCTGCACCAGTGGAGGTCCAAGAGGCGGATGCTCATGCCTACGACTATACACCTGCATACAGCGCTCTTCCAGTGCTCCTATAACCACTGACTGGTTATTCACTATTGCTGACAGGGCTGCATATTTGGCCTCCAGTTCCCTGTAACGGGATGCCAGGCGCAGCGACTCGGTGGTGGCGTTGAGGATGCGTGTCTCCAGCTGAGCCAGCTCCAGCGAGTTGTCCCTCTTCCGGATGATCTCATGAAGCAGCTGCATGTAGAGCTGGGTCACTCGGGAGTTCATGTTTCTGCTCTCTTTCCTCAGCAGCTTCATCTCATTCACCAAGTTGCCATCGACGTCCACCACCAGCTTCAAAGTTTCCATCTCCCGACGCTGCTTAGACAGCAGGTCGCGCACCGAGGCCACATCCAGGCGTGTCACTCGATCCTTGTCGGTTGAATAACCACGGGTGGCACAGATGGGGCCTGTGATCTTCTGCTCGGGGACCAGAAAGGTGTAAGAGCACTTTTTGTTTTCTCCATTGGCCTCTGGGGCCCTTCTTATCCGGGAGAGGATGGGGTTCTTGGTAAAGGCTTGACTGTTGCTCCAGAGGGACAGACCAAGCAGAATAAATACGGTCCACATTCCAGGTCCCATGGTGTTTCCTCTATGCGTTATCAAAAAAACATACAGATCTATGAAAAGGAAAGAGAAACGCATTGCATACATAAGGAATTAGGTTGGTGTTATTCTAGAGTTTTCCATGAAAACACCATATTTGACCTGCAGCTCCTTGCAAATTCCCTGCCACAGATCTGGACATCAGTGGGTGCCTGCTTCTAAAAGGACTTTGGTAGCATCAAAATAAACTGACTCCGCTAGAGTTGGTTCAGATATTTATCTTTATCACTCATCTCTTTCCATTTGATCATCTTTCTAACAGGCAGACTACAGGAAAACTAAGGTTTTGCAAAGGCTCTCTTTTCTCCTTTGAATCTGTTTAATCCAGTGCGGCTGCAAAACTTAGTCAAAAAGCACCAATACCTAAATAGTTTTTACAAAAGTGAAAATTGAGATACACCTGTTTTCACGTACTAAGCTGTTTGTTCATCAGCAGGAATCTGTGTATTTAAAATCTCCTATTCTAAATACATTCCCCTCGTGGGTTCTCTTTCTTACCACATTTGTATCAGGTGTCTGGGCGGGTGTGAACAAGTGCTGAGATCTGTTTTTAATATTTCAGTAGACCTCATGGCTCAGACCTTCTGCAAATCTCCCCTATAGTCTTTCACCATACCAGCACCAGCTTATGTGGATAAAACAGAGGAATCTGACAAAAGATTTAACTCCAAGTGAAAAAATTAAATTAAATTAAAATATACTTGAGAGAAAACTGTGTTACTGTGGTCATGGAGGATGCTGAATGTGCTATCTTATAGGGAAGCATCCAGTGGCAGTCTGTGTTTCATGAGGTGCAGACATTTTTAGTCCGGTAATGAGCAAAGAAAGCAGCAGGTGGTAGTCATTGGGCTTCTCTGACTCACTTTAACTTCTGCCTGGCTGCTAGAAAGCAGATACATTTGAGTTTTGGTGACAAATAAAATAAATTGGCGTGTTTGATGAAGAGCAGAGTTTAAAAAAAAGGGGGGGGGATTCCTGGGTTATGAGTAATGTTTTCTGGAGTCTATTTTTGGGAAGAAAGCTGGTTTTTTGATCTTATTGGTTTTGACAGCGCAACGAAAAGAAGCAGGGGTGGGCGCATGCTAAGTGAAAGATCCCTCCTTCTCATATTCAGTAACATGGCTTGGCTCTGGAAGTGGAGCAATAACGGCGAGCCAGCGTCAGGCTGACTTTGGCAGTCAAGCCAAATCCAACCAGAAGGCAGTCTGGTGGATGAGTTGAAGCTGAACCTTCAGCTGACACTTCTGACAGGCGCATGATATGAACTGCATCACGCTGATGCTCTGAAACACATCTGCTGAGGATTTTTGCAGATGCCCACGAAGGCAGAAATTAATGATCGCGAGGCAGAGACAGCAGGGGCATTGAATCATTTCTGTGGCCTTAACTTGATGTTTAGTTGCATTGAAGAGCCCTGACCACAGTAAACGGGACCGATCCCAGAGCATTACCTAAGCTCAGAATGCTCCCGTAGCAGAATAGTACCCTTTTATCATCCTTGCAGGGAAAAAAACATGCTCGCCTCAAGGGAAAGTTTTTTGTGTTCTCATGAAGCACAAAGACTCATTGATAGAAGTAAAGCTTTGGCTTGTTTTAGCTTTTACATATGGAACTAGCTTCTGTTTATTTGGTATAGATCACAAACCATATGATAGGAAAGGAAAAGGCGCTTTAATGAAAGTGGCCCATGTGTCGGGCTTCAAAAACACCTTGGCACAGGCAGTCAGTTATTATTACTCAGAGAGTGCATTTTTCCTGTCTTTCTGTAGTCACCGGTCATCCCTCCCTTCAATAGCTAAGGCTCAGCAATTGGCCCATCTGTATGTCTCCAACGCCACAATATGAATCTCACAGGCTCTGGTCTGACAGGAGTGACAGTGTTTACATAGAGGCTCCTCAGCCGCAGCTGTGAATCTCATCTGCAGTTATTACCACCAGGTTTCTCTCTGTCGTTCACACCCTGCTGGTCTTCATCAACTCGGCCACAGCATTCATTTTTCTCTCCCTCTTTTTTTCACTTATTAAAAGGGTATTTTCACCTTGACGTTCTTTGGTCAGAGCCAGACCTGACCAGATCCAGCCACCTCATCTATATTAATATAGTCCTTTGCAACCAGACAGGTCAAACTTTGCGGTGGCTGGTTTTCCCCAGTGGAGAAGGGAACTAGGAGGACTCTGCCAAATGGCCCACTAACTCTAAGTGGCACCACTGTGTGCTGGTAAGCTCCTCGATTAAAGGATTTTCTTTTATATATCTGCGAACACAGCGTACGAGTCCCTACGGTCCCATCAAACTGGTTATACCAACATACAGAATATATTATTGCAAATCACATATCCCTCCTTTTTATCCCACTCAAACTTTGTTGTGGCTTTTGCTCGGAGCCAGCAGATTTCTTTCAGGATTAGACCACAAGTTATTCCGACGGTGCCACTGATTAAGTCTGTCTGCTAAAGAGACAACATTAAACATGAGCATTAAACATGGTGAATGGGGCCAAGTGGTTCACATCAGACATATTTCCTTTAGGTGATTAACAGTCCTTCCACGGATCCTTCTAAAGCCATCAGAAGAAGGTTTATACTCAGTACATTGCATTTAGATCTGTGTTTTGCATTCATCAAAGATCTACAGATTCAATAATGCGCATATAGTTCAAAAATATACATACTGTCACATCAGTTTCTGAAACTTCACATGCCACTCTGAGCTCTTAAAACAGGCAAAAGTCTAACCTGTGTCAGTGAGATCAATCAGTGGTCCAAGAGCTGCAGGTAGAACCCAGCTCGGTGTCTCACGCGTGCCTCCTCTGCTGGTTCTCCATTCCCATCTCCTCACTCCCAGTCTCCCTCTGACTTTGTTCTCATTGAGATTAACGGCCTGCACACTATGCTATGGCACCAGCAGAAATTGTCAACTGGAAGAGGACACTGGAGGGTGGTCCATATACAGAACGAGAGGGGCTGATGGTGTGATTTTTTTTTCCTCCTGTAGTCTGAGTAGAGGCTTTGGCCCTGCCTTCCTCCTCTGATGTCAGTTTGGGTAAAAGACTCCTCCTAATATAAAGTTTCACCACAAAGTGATGAATGCACTTGGCTGTGAGTCAGTTACTGGTGAAGGCACATGCAAAAAACAATCTTTCTGCCATCTTTTAAATCCTAACAAGATCTGGTTTGCAGGGTTAGTCAGTCTCCTACACACGCAACATGCCAGTCAGGCTTGAAAGCTGATGGACTTTTTCCTTTTCTCCCTCTCACTCACATATTCATCTGTCAGTTTCATTCACCTAACTACTTCTCACAGTCTGCTTACTCCACGCAAATCTGTTTCCTATCAACTCGAATCTAATGACTGAGTGATTCTGGCGATCCAGTAGCTCTAGCATAATAATACGAGGTCTGTTTTTTGGATGTGAGTGCTTCTCTTATGTTTACTCCCTATATGGGATGTGTGTTCCTCCAGAGGCAATCCAAGAGCTATTGGCAGCTGTGCTTATTTGGTATGAGGATAATATGCACAGGGCTTTTCAAACAAAAAAGAACGCCCCTCAGCTAAATGTTTTGGACCGGAGAGGAAGCACAGGCTTTGAAGCATGGGGATTCTCTGTGTGGGGAGGCATACTTCAGCATGTGGGAGGACAGTATTGTTTCTGAGTAATCAAGACAGGATTCATATTGTAGAAATGTGTCTGTGTAGAAGTGTGTGGGTGCTCGTGTGTGACGCACACATGTGTGAGGGCATATGTTTGTTTGTGCGTGATCGACATAGTGAGTCTCACTGCAGTGGGTGAAACTGAAAAATTACAGCAAACAGGAATGAAAAATCTTTCTTTTTAAAAATGTTTTAGAAATCTGAAAATCTGAAAAGGAAAAAGCTTTTTTAATAAAATAATGTAAATCTTTAATTTGTAAATAAATTGTTTTAGCCTTGGTAATACCAGATTTCTGAGTAAGTAAAATCATATCAATGAATAAAACTAACAAATTCTAAATTTGTTCATTATTTTGAAATAATTTTGCAGTAAGTCTGAAGACGTCAAAGTGACTTTACTACTTTTCAAAATAAAAAGAATTATTCAAATATATTATGAAAACAGACATTACTCTTTGAGCAAAATGCTCCTCATAATTTTCCCGTTTCTCTGAGTTAACATGATGTTTTACTACAGACTCCACAGTGGTTACCAAACTTTTTCTAACACGTGCCATTTCAGAAGCTGAAAAAATGTCCTGCAGAATCAATAATTTAAGACCCATATTCCATTATTATTATCAACCTTTAACAATAAAACATGGCAAGCATAATAACATCTGCAAACTCTTTTAAACTCTAAACAAATCACCTGGTCTTCCATGCTCCACTTGAAGTGGCTCACTGCTCAAATTTCTGAAAACCAAGTATATGTAAAGTGTATATTCTGGAGGCACATAATGGAGTTTGATCCTTTGTATCTGTGGATAATTTCTGTGAAAGTTCACTTTGAACTTTGAGACTTAAGCTGTCACTGTGGTAAAAAAAAAAAATCCACCCCTCTCTGTGAGCCCCTCCTTGTGGCCGAACTACTCTACTACCACCCAGTTTCACCTTCGCAAATACCATAGTTGTACCAGTTTATTCTGAATGAAGATATGAAGATGCATGAAAACAGATAAAAACAAAAACACAATAACAAAAATCCCAGATAAACTAAAAGAATGTATTTCTTAATCTGCGGAGTAAAAGAACTGACAGACTCCACAAAAATATCCATATTTTTATCAGAATTAGTAACTGGTTTATGTGTTTGTGTGTAAGCATATGCTTTCTGGCTATGTAAATGTGGGAGGCCAAAAAGTAATAGATAGCTATTTTATATTATTTACATGTTCATATTCCTATTCAGCAAGAAACATGAGAGGCACTTTGGGTTGCCCCAAGACCGAAAGAAGGTAAGGGGGAAATACTGGTCTAGTGGAAAGTTGGTGAATACATATGCGATGAAATCAAAGGGATATTTATTTTTTGTATTTTTTAGGACCCAGTCCACTGTAATCGTAACACTTAAAGTCACCATCCAAGTCTCACTATTTAGAATCTATGCAATACCTCCAAAGACACTTCTCTAAGCTTGTAATTGATACAGCGTTTAATCCCCTACAATCACAGACACTGCGCCAAGCCCTCGGTGACGTCATGCGGCTTGACCAATCACAAGCTGGACATTGACAGTTGACACTTGTGGTTTGACGTCTGGCGAAAAACTGTAGCGACTTTAATCTAAACAGAGGAGCGTTTGATTAGCTGTCATTCGTTTAAGGGGAAGGAAATGAATAAATAATCAGAGTAACATGGTTTAAAAAGCAGGTGAACGAAGTGTTGTTGTTACTTTTTTCATTTTTCCTGCGGACTTCTCACTTTCAAGCATGGTGAGTTTGACCCCATTCCCTTTCATGTAATGTCGCCAGGGTTTTATTTTCGTGCACATCGACTCTGTGACAAGCACTCGGCTGTTGTGTAGAGCCGTAGAAGCAACAGTTGTTATTGTCCACTTTGCCCTCCAGAAAGCGGTGGGGTCGAGGCGATTTAAACAGGCTTTGCTCGTGAGCGGAGACTCATCTGTGGCGGATAAAATTAGACTAAGGTTAGAGATCCGTGTCTCTGTAGATCCGCTGAGGCCTGAGGAAGACCACACAGACAACTGGAGGGTCTATGTAAGCTTAAATGCCATTAGAATAAACTAAAACCTCTTAATATGACATTTACATCACAGAATTATGACATATAATAAAACTTGCGCTGTTGTATTTTGGCCAGATCACATGGAATATTATGTAAAGTTTTCCCTCTAATTTGAGTCGAGTGAGCATATGAGCATATACTTCTTCTGTACTAGTGTGTGTGTGATTATTGTGATACATGGTGATGTTCTTGCAGGATGCGGAGGGCCCCCCGACGCTTTGTGACCTCTGCTTGGCTCAGGTGTGCCAGAGCTTGAGCTCTCTGTGCAGCATGCGAGCAGACGGCTCCATGAGCCTCATCTGGGCCCCGGTCTTCCCGCAGGAGACTGCTGACCAGCTTCTGAATCACATGGCAGCTAAAGGTAGGTCAGAAAATAAAACAGCTCTGCAAACATCAATTTTCTACCGCTACTGAGTGGTCGCAGTTGTTTGGCAAACTGAAGGAAAGAAAAATTATTCCAAAGCATTGAAGGTGAAATGATTTATTAGTTCGCAGTAAACAGAGGTTTCAGTTTGTCATATTGCAAGAGTAGGAAAGGTATATTCCACAAACATAAATATGGCTTAACCGATGCTTCTTTTTCCTACAATATCCCTATGTTTGTTTCTTCCCATAAGAGATACTGAATGACACAACTGTTGGGATTTTCCGAAGCTGCAAAGAACTCCGTCTGCGCCGAGCCTCCATTCAGAGCTGCCCACTGTCTGCAGAAGCTTTCCGCCTGGCTCTTTGCCCTCACCGGCTCCTGGAACTAGATGCCTCCTGGGTCTCTGGTGGTCTTACTGGGGCTGACATTGTCTCAGGCTTGGCCTCCAACCCAGAATGCAGATCCAGCCTGCAGAGGTTGTCCCTCAACGGTTTACGTCTGGACTGGGAGTCTTTAGAGGCAAATGGTGGGATCCATGTTGGCTTCAGCTCCTTGCGGGGCCTTAGAATGTTAAACCTTGCCAACACAGACCTAAATGATGCTGCCCTTGAGGATATCTGCAATCTCCCTCACCTGGAGACGCTGGATATTTCTTGCAGTGCTATCTCTAAGCTCACTGCACTTCTTGAGTGCAAAAACACCCTGAGATCCCTTATTGCCCACAGGCAGCGGCACCTGGATATGTCCCCTGCCCAGCTGCTCTTTCTCTTTAGCCAGCTTCATGCTCTCAAGCATCTGGACTTTTCAGAGGACCACTTCTCTGTAGATGACAGCGATGGAAGAGATGGAGATGAGACAGTGCGGCAGCTTCTGGAGGGGAGTCCCCAGGTCCTCCCATCACTAGTTTCTTTAGATATCTCTGGTCGGAAGAGAATCAGTGAAGCTGCAATCAGAAGCTTTGTGGAATCCAGAAGTGGACTGGTCTTTTTGGGCCTGCTAGCCACTGGGGTTAGCTCCTGTGACTTCTTTTCTACACAGAAAAGCCTAAAAGTAAGAATCTTTTACTACCCAGGGAAAGCAATGGTAGAAATACAAGCCTGATTACTGCACAAGCTTCTCATTTATTTTTGACTTGAGGCTCTGTTTGTACTCTTTCTGAATTTTCCCACTGCATTTCCTCTCTCTGTAATGCTGCTGAATGTCTGTCCAGGTAACAGGAGAGGCTGATGAGAACCAGGTGTGTGAGGCACTCAGAAGGTACAGAGACCGCGAGTGTTTCATACGAGAGGCCCTTGTCCATCTCTACAGTCTAACCACTGACACTGACAAACCACAGCCAGACGTGCTGAAGGTGTTGTGGTCTGCATTGCTTCCTGACATGTCTTTAGTAAACCTGTGGAATGATTTGTTTGATTGGGTGGTAACAGAAAATCAGTTGGCTATTTTGTTCAGTTTAGGAGAAGCAAAAACTTACCATAAGTAAGATTTTACTGTAGTATCTCCCTTTGTTCTCCATTGTATGAGATCTTTTCCCTTGTTCATTAATTTCTTTTTTAAAAACAGTACTGTCACTGAAACTAGCATTTCCTTTTTTTTAACTAAGACCTTGCCAAGAGAAACAGCAAATGCAGAGACCAATGCAAACATCCACACCATATCTCAAAGTACTAAAACATGATTTATTAAAATGAAGAAAAAAGTAATATAAATAATCCTTTTTTCTCAAAAATCTTTGGTTCTTTGGTGTTTTAAACCACTTTCCTAATTTACAGCTTTAATGTCCTGTGAATTGTGGATATTGAAGAGAAGAGGTGGTGAGGCAGTTTAAATTACAGCTTTGATGTTAAATAGTACAGTCCAACTGTACAGATGAATTGGTTGAATAGAGCTGAGAATTGAACAAAAGAACATATTGGATATTGCTTTCATTACTTTTTCGAAAACATATGCTTGTGTAATAATGATCTACAAAATGATTTCCAAATGAGGTACAGTACCACAGAGAGTACTTCTGCAAGATCCTTAAGTATAGCAAGATTAGCACAACTGCTAACACTGACCTAAAAAAAAAACCTGAATCAAAGAATTGGGTACAAAGTTATATCATTAATATAAAAATTAGCTAATTGTATGTAAGCTATTTAAATTTTTTTGCTAAACCAAAGCGATAAAGAGTTGGAATGTAGGAGCTAGCTAAAATTTTTAGTAAATATCTGTATAATATTTTGGTGAAGTGTTACAGTTAAACTATATGCTAACGTGGTTGAGTAAAATAAATTAGCTACATGAAATTCTTAATGCAAAGTTATGAAGTATTTAAATATGGCTAGCAGTTATATTCGTAGCATAGTGTGTAGCTAGCTGCGATTAGCCACTTGTGTTAGCTAGTATTAGCTATTTATTTATAATTTTAGAGCTAGCTAAAGTTATGAATAAAAATTAATAAATAGTTTTGAAAAAAGTAACAGGTAAACTGTAGTTAAGATTATGAATTGAAAGTTTAAATTACAATGTAAAAGTATGGATTAATAGTTAATATTTTTAGCTATCAGTATATTAACTGGTAGCTTAAAGGACAAACGTAAAGTTATTGGTCACTAAGTGTCAAGTGAAATGAATAGTTGTTACAATGAGTCGAACTCAGAGTAGTAGTGAATGGTTGACATTGTGAACTTATAGTGATGATGGTTAAAACAATTAGCTGATTACAGCTGAGAAATAAGCCGAAAGGGTTTATCGTTCAGTTTAAAATAAGTGCAAATGAACATAGATTGGTGCTTTTTTTTAAAAAAAAATTTTATTTTTATAAAAGACAGTGACAGTGCTCTGAGTATATTTCAGATAAAAAATGTTGGGCACCACTAATATAATGGATATTTTGTTGTCCTATAGCTGGTGGTGAGTGGTATGCAGAGGCACCCCACCTCCTTGCACATCCACCTGGTCGCCACAGCGTGTGTGTTCAACCTGACCACTCAGGACTTGGCACAGGCCATGCCCATCAGCTTGCTCAGCTCTACTGTCACCCAACTGTTAAACACCATGAAGAATTTCCCCAACCACCAGCAGGTCAGGAGTATGCTCAGTGCCTCGAAGGCTTTCACTCAGGATGTGGCATGTACTCTACTCGCCTTTGGGCTCACTACTAATATTAGGTGTTTTAGGAGTTTAAAAACTTGGTGTCTCTACTGGGATGGAAACTTGTTTTCCACAAAAGGTTTTGGTATTAATCTTCTGGTGAGAGTGTGTGTATGTGTGTGCACGCCAGAATTTCAGACTTATCAACTTTTCCTCATTTTACCTTCCCTACCTGCTGCCAGGTCATAGCCTCCTTTCCACTAGCAATGTGTGCTTCCCAGCAAGCATGGGTCAAAGTTGAAAGATGCTGAACCCGCAAATGCTCCTGAGCTGTGCATTTGCTTTGCGTAGCAGCAAAGTGCTGTTGCGTGGTGCAAGCTATTGAAGATAATGGATGCACTGAAAAACCATTATTTCAGGTAATGGATGGATTTCAGTGCATGCCCCATCCTTTGTGAAAGCCACCATCAGATTTTAGAACCATAATATCATGTAGTTGTATACCAGCAAAAGGTGGCACTCAATGGTTTTGTTCTAGCTGAGTTGCTATTCACCAGAATCCAACTTAATTCCTGACAGAATTAAGACTTAATCCTGACTGTAGTTGTAGTTGCTCTATAATACCCCATACTTCAATTCATGAAGTGTTACCGTCTCTCCAGGTGCAAAAGAACTGTCTGCTGGCCCTCTGCAGTGACTACATCCTCCAGGAGGTTCCTTTTGACAAGTTAGTTTACTTTCCGTCAGTCGTAATATGATCTTTGAGTCCATTGGTCCGGCAGTAGCCAAAATAATCAGTGCACACATAGAGTGGCAGTGTAGTGTTTTTCCATCAGATTGGAATCCAGCTGAGTTGTGTTTTTTTTTTTTTTTTTTTTTTTTTTTTCTGAAATGCAACTGCCAAAAGAAATAGTTCTTCCAGATGTTAAACCAAAGCAGTGAACTTTTCACAAGGTTTTGCTGTGCATCACTGGTGTATTTTTGTAATACTGTGTTCCTTATATCCACACTGCTATCGTGCTTCAGGTATTTAGCGGCAATGCTGGTGATTAACTGGCTGAGCAGCCACGAGGATCCGACCCTGCAGAGGATGGCTGTGGCTGTCATCTCCATTCTGGTGGCCAAGGTCAAGACTTTTCTCGCTTGCTGTGCATTAGTCTGCTGCTGGAAAATAGTGGTGGCACCTTTTAATCCTACCTGTTGAGAGCTAACCCTTTGACACTTATTTCAGCGAGCGGCTTTATGCTTTCATTTAGTCCAGTTAAATGTGGACAATTTTCCTGTGGGATAAAAGTACCCTCTTGTTTTAGACTGACATTTAGAAGAGTGGATAAAACACCCTTAAAAGAAGCACTCATCCATTTGTTTTTATGTGCAGTTGTCCACAGAGGAGATGGCACAATTCAGCAAGGATATCTTTATAATGAAGGTACATTAAGGCTCTCAGGGTACCGGCTTAGCACGGGTTTATTTCTAATTCTCTCCCTGTGTTTTTCTTTCCCTCGCCGTCTTTCTCACCTGTCCATTTACAGTTACTTAATGCATACACGTCTCTACTCGATGCCCTTGTCATTCCATCGCTTAATGCACGCCTACGCCTCAATTTGCTCTTTCTCTGCTTCTCAGTCACTTCGTCTTGCTCTCCACACTTAGTTATCCTCTTTTGCTCTATGTCTAAAGCTACACATTAGTATGTTCCCGCTATGTGTACAATATTTCTCCTATATATTTATTTATTCTACAAAAAAAGTAATCTCCCATTTTCTCTCCCCCTCTGTGCTTTTCCACGGTGCCATATTTCCTCTTCTTGTTGTCTCTGTTAACAGCAGCTGCTGGCTATTGTGCAGCAGAAAGCCATGGTTGGAGTTGTCGACTCCACTCTGAAGTTTGCCCTGAGTGCTCTGTGGAACCTGACGGATGAAATGCCAGTAGCAGCGCGCAATTTCATTGAGTGCCGGGGCTTGGAGCTGTACGAGGAGGTTCTGGAGGTAAAGGAGACCAGAAAATAAAGCAATAGACACACTGATTAAAAATGAACGTCACAAAGAGAGACGTTAACATAAGAGTGTTTGTTTCCTCTCATGCTGTTCCCTTTTGCTTTGCAGTCCTACTACACTGAACCTTCTATTCAGCAGAAAGTTCTTGGCCTTCTGGTGGGTAGTGTATATACTTTTAAATGAAGTCATCTGTAGGCAGCCGTAATCATACACAAAACAGTTCCTGTGTTATGCTTGCCTTTTATATTATGTTTTTGCAGTCACTGCTATAATTGGTCTCCCTGAATTGCAGAACAACATTGCTGAGGTGGAGGAGTTGCAGGCTGATCTGATGGAGGAGGACATTTTGGAGCACATTCTCAGCCTCTTGCAGGACTCTCAGGTGGATGTGGGGGTTCGCTACTTTGCAGGGGGGATACTGGCGCACCTTGCTTCCAGACCAGATGCCTGGACCCTGGAAAATGAGTTGCGCAGCACCGTACTGAAGCAGCTGGTGTGTGTGTGTGTTTTGAATGCTGCTCTTCACGTAAGATCTACCACATTTTGTGAATATGCCTTTCTGTCTCGGCAGCACGATTCCATCATGACGTGGACCCATCTTGAGAGGGAGATGGTGTCTTACAGGTGAGAGAATAGCAAAGACAGAACAGAAATATGTAAAGAGAGAATAAAACTAGTCTCAGTTTGACATCAGACATGAGCTACATGCTGAATAACACTTTATTTAAACAGTTTCCCCATTAATTAGGTTACACATGTCACATTCTCTTTAGATCACACAAAATTTGCACAGTTTTCACCAGTTTAATCAGTGGAATACAAGCCTGATCTTAAACACCATGGACAGTTCCTTTTAACAGTTTTTACCTCTCAGCCTGAAACACTTGGGGCATTAACTGGGTTAACCAGGTGGGCAGCAGTGATGATAACTCGAGAAAAGGTTCTCTGATAGCTTTGAATATCAGCAGCCTTGACCTCATGATTAAGGTAAGACTTCAAGGTCAGAGGTCAATTTTAGTGAACACAGTAGCTTGAGAAGGAGGTCATGTAGGATCTTTTAAACCATGCCTATAGGTATTTTTACTCAGGAAGGATATCATATAGGCTTCTCATATGACAGCACAGCTGCATCTACTGACAATCTCTGATACTTTTGGATTTTGCAACTTTAATATAATTCATGCATTGTTTTCTCAATGGTGCAGCTATACCAACGCCACTGTTTCAGCGTTTTAGATAAAATGACTTTTCCCCATTTGGCATTCATTAAATTTTCTTAGTGATAATAACCCTTCTGCTGTAGCTGTATGAATTTTCCAGCCAGGGCACAATTTGATAGCTGAAGTCCTAAAAGATGACCTGGTAATTATGTGTTATAAAACTTGTCTTTCCACTAGATTTATGGCAGCTAAAGATTCGACTGCCAGGAGCCTGAGGGGTATCACTGGCACTTGCCAGTTTGGTTTTGTTGTTGTTTGTTTCTTTTTTTTTTTCTGCTGAGTTATACCCAGAATTCTACCACAATTGCTACAGAAAGCTCAGACATCACAAGAAAACGTCCTAAATGTGATTGAGAATCATTTTCTACATCACCTTAGCTCACATACTCAGCTGGATTGCATCTGGGACAAACAAAAACTGGGTTATTTGATGTCCATGTTTCAGGTCGTTCCATCCTTTTTGCCCTCTGCTTCAAACTTGTCAGCCCGCAGGCGTGCAGCTGTGGGCAGTCTGGGCCATACATCTGGTCTGCACTCAAAACAGTAAGACACACACACAAACACAGCTGTGGGGATCCAAGGACGGTTACATTATCGGCGTGATGGGTTGATCTGAAACAATTGTTTTATTCATGCAAAAATATGATCATATTTTATAGGCTGTTTGGTTTATTAATAGTCTTGAGCTCTATCCCTCTTTCATCTTTTTATCGCTTCTCCTCTCCTCAATCCATCCAGCTTCACACTACAGCAGCATGCTGGAGAAGGAAGGCCTGACTGAACTTCTGAAAGCTTTGGCTGCACATCCCAGCACACACAGTGACATTAAAGGACTATCAGACAGCGTCTTGAGCATGGTTGAGCAACATCAGATTCATGCGGGAGCGTTCAACAATCAGACGGCACCTCAACGCTCTTGACAGAAGTGTTAAAAAAAGAATTTTACTTGATTTGCTATCTTTGACCTATATCTGAAATACGCTAGATATATAGTTGCAGAGAAAGCAGAGGCAGTATCAAGGTGCAGACACTTGATGCTAATTATCTGGAAACATATTTAATAGAATAAACCACGTAATGCATAATATTTATTTCATATGGACAGTGTATTTGCTTGATGTAAAAAGTTATTTGTGTTACCTATTTTTTAAACTGTTTACTTACTTTGAAACCAGAGTTGTTGTTTACAGAGCGAATGTTCTACTTTGAAATGTGCACTGTTTTTAGTCTACATTGATAATGGGCTGAACAGCATAGAAGCTTAATAAAATGAACTGCAGCTAAAAATGGATTGACTTAAGGTTTTAATTTCAAAACCTGTCACTAGGGGGTGCTTTAGTACTGTATTTTTTGGACTGTTTTGCCCTTAATGTGTATTTGTGTAAATTATTTAGGCACTAAATGTACAGATTCCAGGTCATCGTGTGATAAGTGGCTAGGTACCAGCAGGCTTAACCTGCTGTTTATCTGTTTTTCTCTCCTCTTCTTATTTTTCTGTTCTCTCGCACACTGTCGCTCTCTGGCTCTCTGAATTCATTATGTTTTATGTAATACAGCCGGAAGACAGAACTGCTTGTAGGCATCGAGAGTGTCTATTATAAATTGTTCTATTAATAATTCCTTTTGAGGAGTGAATTTAAAAAGCTCACGTGAATATTTGACTATTACCAGGCTGCTCAACTTTTTAAGTGTCAATTTGCTTCAATTCACCTGTTTAAAAAAGAAAATCCCAGCAGGCATTTAAAAGTATTTATTAAAAAATAAAATAATGTTGCATGTTGTGATTCAGCCAGGTTTCTCATTTCCTTGGAAGTGGTGGGTTATTCTGTACGCTTGAAAACGGGAACCAGATCTGATCCAGAGGCAGCATTTAACACAGACTCGCCTTCTAAACTTTAAACTCACAGTGGCAGCCCTGTGTTAAAAGTTTAAGTGCTAACAGCCAGAGAGGTGTGAAGTTCAAGTCATGAGAAGGGTGGAAAAACAGCACTTCCTTCGAGGGTTTTTATTACAGTTGTGCTGTTACTCGATAGCGTAGAACTCCACTTCCACACAGGAAAAGACGGCGTGTGATGAGTTAAAGTGACTGGAGAGAACCGAGCCGAAGGACAACAGCGCTGTGCACTGTTACAGGTCTAAAGTTTCTTTCTGTTGCTCGAGGAACCTATCAATATTTAAGTGACACGAGGAAGAAGCAGACAGAAGGATATCAAACGGACAAAAGCAAGGGGGAAAACATGGAAATGGTTTTTAAAAAAGAAGAAGAAAAAAGCTGAGACGGGGCCAACGAAAGTCTAATTTGGTTAATTAACAAGAAGTCAGTAAGAGGATTATGTATAAAGAGAGCTTCCTAAAGTGACTGATTATCTTTACTATTTGTAAGAAGTAAAGACGGAAAGGGGTTCATGATTCTTTTAAAAAGAAATTAACAGAAGTCAAATCCACAATTGAATGACTGTATTCACTGGGCTGACTGAATTAAAAATGGACGTGATTCTGTCAGGCAAAATTAGTGTATGTGATATATCACTGATGGTAGACTATAGTGTTTGCTAGATGTCAAGTGTTGAAATACAGAAATTCTGGAGTTTCAAAATTGACCCAGGTGTCTCCGAAGATTCGAGCAAAGATTCTTCATTCAGGTGTCAAAGTTATGGAGCTAATACTGATTCAACTTGAAGACTATTAACTGTTTACTGTGAAAGTACAGGGACACAGTACCTTTTGGGCATGCCAACCTTGACCCTCACTTGATCCCTGAAACTCCTTCCCTGTGTCTCTCAGTTGCTTTCACCTCCAGCCTCATAATGTGCCTGGACTCCTATCCTTGAGTGTAAGGCAAGGCAAGGCAAGGCAAGTTTATTTGTATAGCACAATTCAACAACAAGGTGATTCAAAGTGCTTTACAGAGACATTAGAAACAAAAACAAATAAAAAGCATGATTTAAAATTGATTAAAACAAGCAAACAAACTAATTAACAAACAAACAAACAAACAAAACAGTATATAAAATCAAAACAGATAAAATCAGTAGTTAAATGTAAGTTTTGAAATTTAAGCTTAAAAGTGTGGATTTGGTGCTTTATTCAAATGCAGCTGAGAACAGGTGAGTCTTCATCCTGGATTTAAATAAACTGAGTGTTTCAGCTGATCTGAGGCTTTCTGGGAGTTTGTTCCAGATATAAGGAGCATAAAAGCTGAATGCAGCTGTATTGTGCAAAGATGTCCAAGAGGTGTTTTTTGATGTGAAAATGCACACACATACAGTGCAAGCAATCCTGAAGGTCACTACATTATTTCATTTGCTCCAAAAATTGAAGTATTAAAGCAAAAATTTGCAAGACTATCAGTGCTAGAAGCAGTTAATGTACAGTATATGAATTAGATATGAAGCTTTTTTGTATTAAGCTAAGCTTAACTCATTGTTGGTATTTATCAGACAGCAAGAAAATATTCGGTTCAGAGAAAGAGAGAAGGGTGGAGATTGGCAAAAAGCTAGAAATAGGCAAGTCAATAGGGAAAATGGCAGGTGCAGATATTTCTGGCCATATGGCCAAAATATATAAGAGACAAATAAAGCAAGGGAGGGATAAAGTGACATTTAAGAGATAAGAGGAACAGAGCCAGTCAAATGAAAATTAAAGTCCCTTTCATGCCAGTTGTATGTGCAAAAAATACCACAGACCAGTTTGCAAAGTGCCTGTCTCAGTCTGAAATACCATTGTGCTGCTTTTGAGTTGGAGCTTAGTGTGAGTAAGCATCTCGTTATCTCACTTGTGCAGCCAGCTCCGTTGGATTAAAACAACTGTGCACTGGCCTGGGTGCCCAGAATACACTAATGTAAAATGCAACACATCTCCAGCTGCGAATGTCTGTGTGCCTGTTCACTTGTGTGCGACGGTCTCTGCAGTGCATATGTGCCTATTGGCTTTACAGGTTTTTGACTTGGAAGCTAATTAGACACCGGCTAGCCTTCTACATACCCACAGAGCAAGAGCGGAAGAAAACACGTTTCAAGAAAAGAAGAGGAGGAGAGTAGACGTCTAAGAAGGCGAAACAAAAAAAAGAAGAAAAAAACACTTCTCCAGGCAGAACTGTGACGCACAAAAGGACACACCATCTCCTCTCCAATGACCTTTTATTGCTGGGGAAGGATACAGAGTTGGCAGGCCCCTGAGCCTGTGTGGAAATACAGTGTGTAACAGCAGCAGGACCATCCTCCTCTTTGCCAAGTGAAGGCAATCAATCAATAGCCTCTTTCCAAGGAAGGGATAAGTAGAAGTTGTCAATATTGAGTCCAATAGAATATATACTGCAATAAAATATATACTATATACTGCATGTGACAGAAATCAAATCAAACAGTAATGTTATTTTGCAACAAATCCCACGACACAAATAATTTGCTTTGAGAATGTACTGAGATCACAATGGAATCACTGGTGGAAAACCAGTGTTTGCAGATCCTGATCCTTCTGTGGTCAGAAAGTAACTCGGAGTATAAAACAAGAACCCTCCTTAGCCTTCGTGTGTTCACAAATGCATGCAAAAGAAATGCATTTCAGTATACGTTAAAGTATTTTCTTTACAGGCGTACAGCATGTATCGCAGATTTGTCTCAGCTGACATTAATTTGGGTCTGATTAATGATGAAATTCTCACGTAACAGCTGTAACACTGACACCAGATTTCCACCCTTCCGTGGAAATATCCCCCTCATCTCCAAGTTCAGTTTAAGTCATTCCACTATTCCATGACTAAAGGATTATTTTCCAATTTGATGTGTGTGTGTGCATGACTGTGTGTAAGTGAGCATGTTTGTAAGTAGATGTGTCAGAGGGCTATTACGGTCGGTTAGAGCCAGTCTTACTTCATGTCACATCTCCCATCTGCAGGCATTTTTACATTGGCCCGTTTGCCTCCAGCTCAGTGGGTGCACACAATGATGCAAAAATATGAGCAGGAAGCAGGGCTGCAGGAGCTTCTGCGTCCAGTAGCTGTGTGCATTTCCTTGTCTATTTACTGAACTGGCTCGCAGTCACAGCTGTAATGTGACCATATCCAGTTGGGCGCATCTCTGTCCTGGAGCACATCCTGACCACTGCCTCAGATTGGCTTTTGAATGATGGGATATGAAAATGAAAACAAACATCCATTCGCAAGCACCACAGCTGCCTTAAGTACTGCTATTATTTCAAAGCCACAGTTCAACATCTTGGGAAATGTGCTCTTACTACTTGCTAACTTGCCAATGGTCAGATCAAATGATTGTTGCCCCTCAGGTTTGTATGTTAATGTGATGCTGTAGCCAGTTGCTGCTGAACTTAGATTAACGTGGAACCAGAAGGAAACAGCGACCCTAACCCAACCTGCCAAATGAATGTTACATTTTTGTTTAAAGGAGCACTGCAGTCCTATATAAAATAAAAAATGGCAGCTTTTAAATCCTTTTATGGTTCTGTGAATAGAAAGAATCGCTTCTCTTGCATTACCACTCTGCCCTTTGAACACCTGTTCTGGTGCTATGTAGCTGCAGTTGTGCTAGTTGGTGTGTAACCATCATACACTAAAAAACTGCTGGTCTTCAAAGTTAACTAATCAACTCATCTAGCACTTTTTAAACCCACTTAAATTTTTACCTTTGTGTTATGCCAGCTTAGTTTCCTTCCAAGAGCTAAGCTAGTTGTCTTCCCCTATTTTTATGCTATGTTAATAACCTGCTGGCTTTTCATCAGATAGACAAGAGAAAGCTTTCTACTTTATTTTACCATCAGAAAGAAAGCAAATTATATCAATTTTGTTTGTGATGCGAACCAATACTATTGTACTCGCTGTCAGAATCAGTGTTAATAAGAGTCTTTCTACCCTAAGGGGAAATTAGAGGCAGAACCAAGGCTTCTGTCTCTGTGTGTTTAAGCATACGTGTGCCTAAGTATGGGTTGACTGTGAAGCACGGGGGTGTAACAAGTGCAAAATGTTCCATTTTACTTCATCCACTTAAATATTGAAATTCAGCTCATTCACGTGCTATGCAACAGGAAGCTGTTATTACTCAAAACCAAGCTTTGCAAACCTTCACCTTGTGTAAACGAACAGCAACTGCAGCGTGTACGTGTATTAGGAGAGGGAGACGTGGGTTTTCCTTGTCATTTCATGTGTGTCACTGTGCTGACATGAATTGGGGCAATCAGCTATCCTATTTCCAGTCTGCACCCTCACCCTTGCCTGTGGCATCGCATGGCCTAATCAGTAAGCTGCAGCAGAAACTAACACAGGCTCACAGTCAAAATGATCGAGTTTATGTATGTATGTGTATATATGAGAGTTTAGTATGGAGACCTGAATAGACCTGCACATTAAGCAATGCATTACTGACAGAACCCATCCAAATATTCCAAACCCAAAGCCATAGAAGCAATCAGGAGCACAGGACTGAAGGCATCTCAGCATACTGCTGAAGTAACAGTATATATAATTATGCATGTACCAATCAAAACATCGGTACATGCATAATTATATAAACTGTTATGAGTCAGC